CACTAACCCTAACGTAGGCCGAACACTTAATCAGGTGATGTGATTATCACGAATATATCACGGGGTACTTGTTCTTCGTCTGCGCTAATTTTTTTTGTACCCCAAAAATTTTAAGGGTATTGACCGACTAGTTGGGGTTAGATGATTATTTGCTGATATTATTACGTAATAAAATTGTATTATATAAATTTTTCCATTATTATTGTTTTAAATTTGTGGTTGTAAACCAACAATAAAATAAAAAATATACGTACATAAAAATAAGATAAGCAAATCAACCCTTAACTTCTAAAAACCTGTTTGAACATGTCGCCAACTTGTATTATCCAATTTTGTTCACGGTAATTCGACTTTCGATTTCCAGATCGATTACGTAATCGAATGGATCGACAACCTAAAACTTGCCAATTAACTCTCTTTGGTGCCGTAATAGAGAAAGCACTCCTAATTTAAATAATATATTACATGTCAATCTTAATATCAATATAATTTTTATTATTGTATAGCACAACTTATATAATTACTCCTTAAGTTTAAAGGTATGTAATTAAAATAGATCGCAGGCGATAGTAATTGCTTGAGTTATCTTAATAACAGCTTTATATAATTAATTAATAGAGAGCGAAACATAGTTCCCTAGTCACATTATTTGAATAATAAACTCAATTCATTTGATTTATTACTATCTTATTGATTTATATTCTTGGAGTTTTTTAATACTTAACTTGCTATGAATTTATATCTTATTACGTCATCTTGTAAAGCATCAATATAAATATGCTTTTAGAAAATTTCACACTATCGCTATACACATCTTAATTACCGGTACATATCTGTTTATTTAAAATGGCAAACGATAAAATTAAACATGATACAATAGAACTTCACGATTATCCTAGAAAACCTGAAATCGAATACAAAGATCCTTCTACTGGCACTTATCATTATACTATTATCTCTGAAGGATACTATCCGTCACCACCTGTTCTTGTCAGGACTCAAAGAAAAAAAAATAGTAGTTATAGAATTCCTGATAATTACAAAGTTGTAGTTAGTTGGGCAAAAAAAAGTAAAACACTAAACATTACATGCACTATTAATTATATACATCAATGTATTAATGATAAAATGCAATTAAAACCTTGTTTTAAAATCGAATTTAATAATGGTCATCAAACAATCGAGTCTTGGCGAAGTGCAACTCATGCGGCAAATTTATTTGCACAGGTAAAGTTTTTCAAAAAAATTTTTTAATATTTAAATCAATACTAAAAAAACACTTTTTATAAAAAAGACGTATAATCCTAATGGAAAATCAACACTATCTGGAACTATAGTATTTGGGCTGCAGCTTAAATGTGTAGAACAAGCTAGAGATTCTCATCGTCAATCTAATACTCTTCGGCCCCTTGAAACTCTTAGTAATTCTGCAAAAAGATCTCGTCTCGAATCAAACAAATTGGTGAAAAAGTGCATGATTATATTAATCATGAAACAACACATTTACATCATAAAATCACTTGTTTTGTCAGTTGATAATCAAAATTGGATAGTTAATTATTCAAAAGATATGACATTTGAAAAAATCAAAAGCCAAGCATGTGTTCATGTAATGGATAGTAATTATATTTCACGAGAAGCTTTTCAATCAATGACAAAAATTTATCCAGAATTAGATCGTGAATATATAATTAGTAATGAAAAGCTTAATCTTGACAAAATAATGCAAGATATTATACCTCTTTATATTATGGATATTAATATAAATAGTTCAACAATATTTGCAACAAATAATGAAGAAATTCATATTGATAATGAAGAAATAATTTATGGTGTAACCGAATCAGTTGGAAAGGCTAGTTATAGAAGTATAAAAGATATTTTGAAGTATATAATTCTATTTTATATTGAAGAAAATATATTAGATCCTAGTAATCCTCTAATTATGCTATGAATATCAGGTGACGGTCGGAATGTAGGATGCTATGTAAAGTATGTAATGATTACATGTTCTATTCTTAATGATATTAGTAATCTTCAGATACCTGAACGACATTATACTATAGTTCTATATCCCGGCATTGAAGATTATCAAATGTTTTAATGCCATTAATTCATGATCTACAGGATATTTTTCAAAATGGAATTGTTGATGAATTTGGCAATAGATGGAATATTCAACTTTATTTCTCATCAGATTGGAAATTTCTTGCTTTATGTTTGGGACTAAATGCTGCCAATGCAATATATTTCTGTCCTTATTGCAAATGTACTAAAAAAGAAATTGGATTATATAACAAGCATTGGGATAAAAAAAATATGGAAATGCTTATTAATAGTCGTAGCACTTGTCCTGGACATATTCGAAAGCCATTATTTTTTATGATACCTTTGAAAAACTGGATTCCAGATGAACTTCATATATTACTTAGAATTACAGATCGTTTATAGAGTTTGGCAATAGCTGAAATTGATCTTAATAACAATCAGATTAGAAATATTATATGTGAAGAGATAAAACGAATTGGTTTTAGTTTTCATTTCTGGCAAGAATATAATTCACGTACATGGAATTTTCCATCAATAACAGGTGATAAAAAGCTTAAACTACTTTGTGAATTCGATTTTACAAAACTTTTTAACCAGCAAAGAGTGATACTTATTCGACAACTTTGGAATAAGTTTTATCATCTTTATAAATTATTAAATAATAAAGAAACTACTAGTGAAATATTTGAGGATGAGGTAAAAAAATGGATGGAGTTATTTTTAACTCCAACATCAGGAACACCAAATACATCAAATTTCATTAAAGGACTGTACAAGCCATCGGATATTACACCTTATATGCATCTTCTTTATGGTCATATTCCGAATATAATTAAGAATCATAGCAAATTAGGAATTCAAGCATTTTCTTGTTTGCCAATAGAAAAAAAAAACCACCAACAAACAGTATATTTTTTTAATAAAACTTTAAGGGATGGTGGAAATAAAACTCAATCTTCTTCAATTTTAGCAATATTGCAACAGGAAAACAGATTGTTATATAATATTAAAAATAGAATACCATTAGCTTTTAAAAAATCTAACCATATTTATATTAAATAGTAATTATTGCATTATTGCTTCGATAAATAATAAATACATTTGTATTATTGTCTAAATACATTAAAATTAATTATCACATTATTGTTTTAATAATTAATAAATACATATTTTATTATTGTCTAAATATATTAATGAATTAATAAATTAATTGATAATTAATACATATTTAAATTATTTGTAATATAATATTTAATTTACCTTTGAGTTTGATAGCTAATAGCATCGACTTGAAATTTAATAATAATAAATCCTGTAGAAATTGTATTCTGATGGGCATCAGTTATTGTTTCAACATACCACTCTATTTTCATTTCAGGTGCTTTTTGAAAATCTGATGGTGATGAAACATATAACATTACATATGCTTTTTGGTCAAGTTCATATCATCGTCCACTCCATTCAGTATCTTGCAATATTGTTGCCATTGTTGCATCAGCGTCTTGACCTTTAAAAAAACATGTGTACTTTCTTTTACAAGGTGAATAACGTTGAACCCATGGTCCAAATATACTAATAAATTGACTTTCACTGCATGGAATTCTGATTATTTGTTTTCCGGTTTTACTAAAATTAAGTGGTAATTTTTTTTTAATAAAAAATCTTATTGTTTCACGAAACTCTTGAATAGCATTTGAAGGTAAAGAAGGAATATCGGATAGTGGTATTTTGTAGTCATTATGTTTAAGGGTTTCATGTTGATAAAGCCCTTTTATATTTTTGAATCGTTTTACTTGACATAAGGAGCATTGATAAGGTTTGGATATTCTTTGATTTTTAGAACTTTCATTTGTTACGACAGAACTTGATAAATTCATGACTAAATAATTTGTAACTGATCGATCAATGTATTATAAATCAGTACGATTGAATTGAATTGGTTGGTAACAAAATCACATGTTATACAAAAGTAATCGGTTAAAGGGTGGGGTAATCAGTTGGACGCAAAATTTAATATATTCGTATTGAATTGATTGGTAAAAAAATCACATGTTACACAAAAAGTAATCGGTTAAAGGGTGGGGTAATCGGTTGGACGCAAAGTTTAATATGTAAATTTTAAATTTAGGGTATTTAAAATGACGTACATGTCAATTGACTATCTACTATCTTAATAATTTGGATCTCCGATCAGATTTTATAAGTTTTAGTAACCGAAAAAAAGGTCCAAAAATCAAAATTAGCGCAGACGTCAATCTTCCCGATTATTCTAGTTATTAATTTATCGCTAACGATATATTTTAATTCTATTGTAATTTTTGTAGATTCGAGTAATTCAGCATCTACTCCAACTTCAATAAGGTCTAATTATGACAAGAAATCCACTTTCAGGTCCCGTATTCCAAGATTATCAGGTCAACGACCACCTTTAAAGTCTATTTCTAATCAATCGGCACCATATTTTATACCAAGTTTTCATGATATTAAGCAACTTCATGAATCTTCATCCGAACATAATAATAATAAGGAAATACACTATCATATTAATTTTAAAAAATATGAAATTGAGAATTTTAAAAATCTACAATTAGTATATATCACATGATTTTAATAATAACCTGCGGCAATAATATGGAATTTTTTCCGTCAGTGTATACATAGTACCTGACGGATAACTGTATATATGCGTTGATTTATACTTTTTATACTTTACCTTTCGCTTAATGAACTTTCTTTTAACCAAAAACAATTCGACTAGGCTAAATACGATTTATATTGATATTGTAATGCTTATTCGGGTCTAAACTAATATGTCTATCCTATCGCTACATCACGGCGAATTTATGAAATTTAGCTAAAATTTGGTCACCAAATCCGAGTATTTTGTCACCCAAAGTAAATCTTAGTTACCAATTTACATATTAATAAATCGATACCAAACCCCGAAAAGTTTTTTTGGACCTCTGATATAGGCTGATAACGCGTCTAAACCATCTTTCTCACAGGCTAACCCATCTTCCTCACCCTTATTAGACATATAAATTTATTATTGCGACGCACCTTAGGTTGGGAAAAATTTCTTATCTCAGCCAAAATCTATATTTATAACTTAGTGGTCAAATTTTTCAAATTTTGGGGTATTTCATAAATTCGCCGCAATGATACCAAACTAGTGAATCAATATTTGTGAAGGATAATATGCATTAATCAAAGAAATTTAGAACCGAAGAAGCTCATTTTTTATTCGTAGAGAAAGTTAAATTGTTTTTAAAAACCGCAAAATTGGTTATAATTCTTACCTGAAAATAAATGTAATGCTGATTATAAAGTAATTTTTTAAACGTCAAAAGACAATTACATTTATATAATTTTATATGCTAAAAATTTACAAACTAATTATGATAAATTTGGACCCATGATTGAAATATTTTTCAAAATTTTGGCCCTTAAATGTAATTATTTTCATTTTGAGCCCTTATTTGTAATTATTTTCATTTTCGGGCCATTATGTAAATTTCCCAAAATTTAATAATATCAAAAATTAACTAATCGCAATTACAAAATTATAAATCAAATCAATTTGTCACATTTCAGCCAATTTTTTATAATAAATAAAAGCTTTATATTCATCTTGTTTAACCCCGATTCCATAGAGATAACAATAGCCGACCTTTTTTATTCCAATAGCCTCACCCATATTAGCAGATTTGAGATAATAATTAAATGCTTTGTGTTGATTTTTTTCAGCGCCAATTCCATAATAATAACAATATCCAACACTATTTATTCCACCAACAAAACCCATTTCAGCAGATTTTTGATAATGAATAAATGCTTTATTTTTATCCATTTCAACACCAAATCCTAGATCATAACAAAAACCTACATTATATATACCCTGAAAGTGGCCCTTATCAGCAGCTTTTTGATAATGAATAAAAGCTTCTTTTTCATCCACGTCAACACCAATCCCTTTACCATAACAAACACCAACACCAAATATTCCTTCAGTAAATCCCATTTCAGCTGACTTTTGATAATGAATAAATGCTTTACACTTATTCTTTTCAATCCATTTACCAAAACGATAACATCTTGCAAGAACAACATGAACCATAGGATTAATTTGATTATCCAAGCACCATTTAATAATGCTAACAGGATTTTGGTTCGTATTTTGGTTCGTATTTATTATAAGTTTATCCAATGAATTAATTACTATATTCACATCAAAACATTTTAAACATTCTTCATTATATCTATTGTATAATTCTTTAACAATTTCGCTAAAAGAGTTGTCAGTTAATTTAATAATTTCATTTAATGAACTGTCGATTTTTTTTGGATGCACTACAGTTAGATTATTTGACATTTTTAAAATCAAAAAAATTTTCATGAAAAGCATTATCGTTATACGTATCACTAACATATTTGGACGCTTTGTGAAACATATACCAATAACGGACGTACGTACGTATGTACGTATGCACGTTGTTGGGGCTCTAACAGCGCCTCCGACGTACAGGTCAACACACCCGACACCTCGTCCGATCATACCTGTAACACATAAAATGTGACACATCCATACAAATTGCGATTTACCAAATCTAGCAATTTCATATCACTATAATTTAAAAATTATATTTTTTAAAAAAATTTTTAAGTTTATATATAAAAAATTTTTTTATTAATTTTTATTTGGTGTGCAAATCTTTTTGAACTGGACTATAATTAAAATATATGAATAATAAAAAAACAATGATAACAAAAAAAAAAAAACTATATAAAAAATTAAAAAAGAAACAATAATATTAAATTAAAAAAAAGAAAAACATAAATTAAAAAATTAATAAATTTAAAAAAAATAAATTATAAAAAAAGAAAAACTATAAATTAAAAACGATGTATTAAAAAAAATATATATAATAAATGAAATTTTAAAAGAAAAAAATTAAAAAAAAACAAAATTAAATGTTAAATTAAAATTAAAGTAAAGAAAAAGTAAATTAAAGAAAAAAAAAAAGAAAGAAAGTAAAAAAAAAAAAAAGAAAGAAAAAAAGAATTGATAAATTAAAGAAAAAAATAAATTAGAAGAAAAAGAAAACTGGCAAAACCTGGTAAAAAAAAATAATAATAAAAAAACAGTAAATTAAAAAAACAGTAAGAAAAATTAAAAAAAGAAAAAAAGCAGTAAAATAATAAAAGAAAACAAAGGGTGTGGTGACTTAGTGAAGTGGTAGAGTTGTCACACCCCCAAGCTAGCTTGACTATGGTATTGAGTTTGAATCCCACTGGCGACATTTCAAATAAAAATACCTGTATTACAGTAATGGATCTTCATTAAGTTGGGGCTTAGTTAGAACTATAACTTGTTATAGTAATCTGTAATTTCAGATTACACCAGTGCACCGGGCACTCTGTGTTCTGCATTGGAAGTGCTGGGGCATTTGTGTAATATCTGGGTTATACAAAGAAATGCAAATCGGTATAGGCGGTGCAAACCTATAATAAGTCCCTGGTACTTTGATAATACTGAAGAATGAGAAGATCCAAAACTGGCTTGGCAAGTCCCGAATATGAAGTAGTAAAGATCTTTGACAGTACTACAAGAAGGTCAATTTGGAAGCAAGTGTCAAGATCAGTGAACTTGAGTAACAAAGATCCTTTAGTGGGAAAATCTACTACCAACCTCTGCTGGTCTAGTACCAAATGGGTTAACTTGGCAATCACTAACAGAGTTACTGGCCTGGAAAGCCGGTAGGTTGGGGCCTTACCCTTTTGGCCCTAAATTGAGAATTGGAAAGTCGGGAGCTATGCTCTTTAGAAAAACATAGACTAAAAACAGCTGGGCGGTACTAGACAAGAGAAAAGGACATATGCTATTAAAGTATATACCAAGGGAAGACGAACTGAAGGCACTTAAAGCCAGATCAATGTCGACTTTTCTGGGAGAAAGGCTTGGTAGCAATATAGGAAGGACTGGTAAGGATTGTAGAAAGATAGAAGCTGGAATGTAGTACTGGGTCCAAATATCGAACCTACAAGAGCGTTAGTAAGTAACAAACAGGAGTTCAATGGTTAGCCCTAACCCAAGTGTATGGGTTAAGCCATAGCGTCAGTTACTAAAAAGTCTGAGTGAATATATATGTGGGATATATCCTGCTCTAGTGGGTTTAGTATAGAGTCAAATACCTTTCTGGTGCTGAAGAAGGTACTGGGTATTAGAGGCTAAAGCCTCAGGGCTGAGATTGAAAGATTAATTAGTGACAATATATAACATGATAATAAGTATAATATACTACCAGTTTAAAAAATTTTCAACCAACCAAATCAAAACCAGATGCTCAGTTCTTGCTTACATGGATGACACTCTATGGGTTGCATCCTCACATGCAGAACTAACCAAAATAATTTCAATTGCAGAATCTTTCTATTCCATGGCTAATATTCAAGTAAATCCAAACAAATCAGTCCTTACTACTAACACAATCTCTAATTCTAACTATCCTATTACCTTTAATAACCAAACACTCTTATTACAACTACCACACCAACCACTCAAATTTCTTGGGTGTTGGTTCACACTTGACAACAAGCAATCTAAACAAATACAACACATTACAAACAAGTTCTCTCACTCATCCAAACAATTAGTCCTAAAAAAATTACAGATACACAAGCCTGCTATATTATTAACATAGTTATTATACCTACTATTAAATATTGCTTACAGAATATTGTTCTTAGCCAAACAGCCTGTAATAAAATCTTCACACGTCATATTGGTCTTGCCAAGCACAAAGCCAAACTCAGCCACACTATACCTACTAGCACTCTACTATATCCACAAATTTACAATATCAAAAATATCTGGGAT